CTGTGCGGGGCAGGCAGCCCCAGGGCTCTCAGCCTGTCCGGGCACAGAGATGCTCCACCCCCACCAGCATCTCCAGAACCTCCACTGGGCTCTCTCCAGTAGCTCCTCGTCTCTCTTGACCTGAGCAGCCCAGACCTGGACCCACAAGTCCATTGGTGGCCCCACCAGGGCAGAGCAGAAGGGCAGAACCTCCTTCAACCTGCTGCCCACACTTCTTCCTGCACCCCAGGAGACCTTCTAGGCCTCGAGGTCCCACAGCTGGCTCATGGGCAACCTGGTGTCCAGCAGCACTGCCACCTGCCCTGCTCCACAGGGTTCCTCCTCCCCAGGACCTCTCATCCTCACTGAACCTCAGGAGGTCCCTCAAGCAGCACCGTGGATCCCAACCCTCCGAGCTCCATCCCTCAACCCAACACTCTCCCCTCGAGCTCCCCAGGAGAACCTTCAGCAGAAGCCGTGGTAGATGCCACCTTCATGTCCCCCAGCCTCCATCAGTGAGCCGAGGAGCTGTACCTGGCAGAAGATCATGGCCTGGCCGATGGTGATGCTGCCGTAGATGTTGCAGAGGGCTTGGTACTTCTCCTGGCAGCTCCTGCAGACGAAGAAGTACTGCCTGATGTTGGTGAGGGTCAGCTCCTCCTCCCGCAGCTTGATGACGATGGGGTTGGAGGTGATCTGGGTGGCGAAGGTCCGCACCCGCTCGCGGAAGGTGGCCGAGAAGAACAGCATCTGACAGTCCTTGGGCAGGGACCTGCAGGGGCCAGAGGGGACATGGTCAGCTCAGGAGAGGCTCTGGAGCTTCAGGAGAAGGGTGGAACCTTGGGGCGTGGACAGAGAAGGGCAACGAAGGTGGGGAAGGGGCTGGAGAAGTTGTGAGGAGCAGCTGAGGGAGCTGGGGGTGCGGAGCCTGGAGCAAAGGAGGCTCAGGGTGAGACCTTCTGGCTCTGCCACCTCCCAGAAGGTTGGGTCTGGGTGGGGGTCGGGTTCTTCTCCCGAGGAACAAGGCACAGGACCCAGAGGCCCCAGCCTGAGGCTGTCCCTGAGGAGCCCCTGGGGGGTGCCAGGCGTGGGCAGCTCTGACCTCTGGATGCGGATGCTCTGGTCGGACAGCCCCTGCGTGTCGATCATGATGTCGGCCTCGTCCAGCACGAAGAGCCTGATCTTCTGCAGGTCCAGCACCTTCATCCTGAAGCACCAGTCCAGCGTGGTGCCCGGCGTGCCGATGACGATCTGCTGCCTGGGCGCCTCGTCCTGCCGGGCTGCCGGAGAGGGACGGTTCCCAAAACGCCCCGGGAGGTCCTGCTCTTCCCACCCCACCCCACCCCAGGCCCTGCTGGTGGCCCCAGGTCCTCAGGGGATGGCCCCAGGAGCTCCAGGCTCACCTCGGCTTCCCCGGATGGCGTAGGCAACCTCCACCTCGGGGCAGAACCTCCCGATGGCCTTGATCACCTGCCCGATCTGCAGGGCCAGCTCGTAGGTGGGGGCCAAGCAGAGGCACTCGAGGGAGAAGAAGACCCGTGAGAGGAGGAACGTCATGGTTGGAAACCAACAGAGCTCTAAAAATAGCCCCCAACCCCCCAAATTTCGGGGTGGGGACGGATCTCCTGAAGGAGATGGCTCCATGCGAGGTGTCAGATCACCCCAACGGGGCCCAAAATCCAGAACTCTGCCCACAGGGAACATCTAGGGGGGGTTGGGTGAAGCCCACCAAGACCCCCAGGCCCCTCCCCGCGTTACCTGGGGGTGCTTCTCCAGGGGGTTCACCCTGCTCAGCATGGCCAAGACGAAAGCCGCCGTCTTCCCCGTCCCCGACTGGCTCTGGGCGATCAGATTTTGGGGTCTAGGAGGTCGGGTGAAGGTGAGAAGCTGAGGAGCAGGAGAAGTGGGGGGGTCACCTGGGCGTGTCTACTCACGGGTAGGCCAGCATGATGGGCAGGGCGGTCTCCTGGATCCGGGAGGGACGGTTGAAGCCCATGCAGTAGATGCCTGTCAGAAGCTCCTTCTTCCTGGAAGGAAAGGTCCCAGGAAGGCCCCGTCTGGAGGGCAGCAGGTGGAAGGTTCTGCTAGGGGTGGGCACTTACAGGGGCAGCTCCTCGAAGCTCTTGACAGAGAAGAGGGGGGAGCTGGGGTCTCGCTGCAGGAACTCCACGTGGTGGCTGGATTCCACCAGGGACGTGCGGATCAGCTTGTTCAAAAACTGGGAAAAGTTGGGGGAAAACCATCATGGAACCCTTGGAGAAGAGCTGGAAGGTCGAGGCTGAGGGTGAAGCTGAGGAACCACCGACCCGTGTCCCTCAGCGCCGCATCTCCACGGCTTGGGATGAGGGGCAGAACCTTGTG